GAGACTATCAAATACAAGGGAGGTATACTACTCACCTGAGCACAGAGGGGGATCCTTAGAGAACGGTTCAAGGATCCATGTGCCCAGGTGTCACACTATATAGTCAGCTGTGACAAGTGACCGATGATGATGGGATATCACTGCCATGGAACAATGGCAGATGACAAGTAGATAATGACAAACCCAGATAAGATAGTGAGTGGCTCAGAGGGGCCAGTGATGGCCAGCTCCTGAGACACCAACAGTGGAAGGCCACACTGGAGGAGCCCAGTGGCCAGGCCAGTGCCGGGCCGGCCAGTGGAGACATCGGAGGCGAGGACCAATGCCCGACTGGGAAGAGGGGTGGTGCGGATGAGCGCAAGGGCATCTGGTACGAGCCTGTACAGCAGTAGACCACATCCGCGGGGAGAAGGCCGAAGTGAAGGGGGAGGAGTGCGTACGGCAGTAGCACTCCCTGGTGCAAGGAATCGGGCTTGGCTAGACCGCTTGCGGGGATTCGAGGGAGATGGCCGGGAGAAGGAGGGAGAGGGCGGATGTCGGCATGGATGGAGATGAGGATCGGAGGAGGAGGAGGAGGCTGGGTGATCGACAGGTGAGCAGGCACAGGTCAGCAGAGAGGGCGCAGTGGGTCACGTGCATGGTCACGTGCCCAAGGAGCGTGGCGTCCCCTGACAGATGGTTGAAATAGCATCCGCAGATAGGAGAATCACTGTTTGGCTTGCTTACATATCAAATTCCATGCAATATCCCTTCCAGAAATTGTGTAATGAATTGTATTGGTCAATAGCATTATTCATTCAAGTGATGTAATGTATTTGGGCTGTCTGGGCAGCAGCCACGTATTTAGCTGGCCAATTTGGCTGAAGATGCATCAGCAGTTCATTTCCTTATGTGCCCTGGATGTCCCCAGAGCCTCTGGAGCTCTGTGCATTGGCTAAAATGTCAGTGAATATATGCTGCATGAGATTGGCTTGTGGGACAGAGCCACAGCCCCCATTCCAATGTGCAGATACACTTGTGCACCAGATGAACAATGTTTCAGAGGCTCTTCAGGCCATTCACATAGAAGAAGCAGGGCCTGCAAAGATCATTTTGAGTGCAGATGGATCCGCAGGACCCATCAAATCCCTGTGCGGATGTTCAAGGACCATCTGCAATGCACCAAAATGATGCCATCAAGGGCATCACCAGTAAAATGAGATGCGGATGGATCAGCAGATTTTTTTAGAGCCTGCTGCAGATAATTGGGCTGCATCTGCAGAGCTCTGATGCAGAGGGCGACCCCAGGCCAAAGAGTCTGCAGGGCCTGTGCTGAAATCTGGCTCTGGACCGCAGGGGGCGGATGCATCCGCACAGCACATATTCAAGCCGTGGTTGATGCAGGAGGATACTGGCTGCATGAACCAACTATAGCAGCTAACAGTGTGCAATTTTAACTGTCTACAAAGCCTGTGCCAAGCAGAGCCTGCCCAATCTGGCCCTGGACAGCAGGTGGCGGATGCATCCGCATGGCGCATGTTTCAGCTGCTGTGGGTGCTGGAGAGGCCTACTTGGGTTCTAAGGAACCTGGCAGCATCTGAGAAGCTTGTGTTCTATGTTTATCCTAGGCATTAAGGTTCTGAGCAACCAATTTAGCAATCCAGAAACAATGCAGAGCATCCGCACAGCCCAAGCACTGAATTGGCCTAACTAACACTCTTCTTTTGCTGCACATAGAGGTCTTTGAAGCAGCTATAATCATTTGGGAGTCAAAAGCACTTGCATACATTGGCTACAGAAGGCTCAAGTCCACAGTGGAGCAATGTATACAGGCTAGAACTGAAAAAATGAAAGAGCAAGAAATGCGGAGGGTTCTGCACTGGAGAACAGTCACATGACATGGTCTGTGGATGCCCTGCATGATGGCATCACAATGATCACGGGGAGAGCCAGGAGCGGATGGATCCGCAGCTGGTTACAGGGCTTGTTGCGGATGCTTGGCACCCATTTGCAGAGGTTTTGGTGCGGAGGATGGCCAAAAGTGCGGAGGGTACCCCCCCTGTTAGGTACCCAAATCAGTCAAAATTTGACCCCTAACAGGGGGGGGTACCCTCCGCGGCGGATGTTCCTTAGGTGCACAAATTCCTCAAGAAGGGCAAGGAACTGCGTTTCCTGACCCGGTGGGAAGGCTTCGACGCAAGCCACAACGAATGGCTAATGGCGAGACAACTGCGCAACACCCCGAGGCTCGTTGCGCAATACAAGGCTTGCCATGGCTTGTGAAGTATGACGCCAAACTTCGTCGATCCCTAGGAACCTCACCCTCACAACGCCGGTTCCACTTATACCTTGCATATATACATAGCCACTCTATAGATTATACCACGTATATTACTATGCTACTATCTATACCCGTATATTACTACGCTACTACTTATACCCGTCACAGAGCTACCCAACACCACCTCGTGGTCACCATACGACCTCTGAATGGTGGAGTTTGGCGGGCACCGCCTCCGATTGCTCCCCTGCACGTGCTGCTTCCTGCCCTTACAAACGACTCACTGGTTCCCAGTGACTCGATCCAAGAGTGGATTGTTCTCCTCCTCTCGAGCTCCTCGAGACATAGGCAACACAGGGAAGAACGCGCACCATGGGCTCCCTCACTCCCGCCGACCGCATCTCCCTCTTCCCAAACGTCGACTTCAAGGATATGCCTGACAAGGGCGTTCAATGGGTCACCCTGGGCTCGAAACCAATGGAGTCGACTATGGTTCTGCGTGGCCTCGCGGACCACCGCTTCGATGAAACCGTCAAAACAATACGCCCACAGAGCGTTCAGGCTTCAGGAATGGCCAGCGACAGGCCCGAATGGGCTTACGACCGCACGTTCTTCGACCCAAAGTACCGCTGGCGCCTCTGCATTCCCGTCGCAACCGACGCCCCTAACCTGCCCTGGTACCTCCGACGCCCGGGAGAGAGGGATCTGAGAGGGTGGCCAGACGCCAGCGGAATGGGCTACGAGATTGATAAGGCTCTACAAGAACGGATGAGCGCCGACTTGGCGGATGCCGAGCAATGCGCGCTCTCTATGTGCCGAGCTGACCTGTCTATGAGCAAACGGACATGTCCCGCGTCCAAGCTCCTCCCGACCGAGCTTGATCAGACCTGGCGCAACAGCCAGGACGCGAAGAAAACTCTCATGACTTGGAGGCGAGCAACTCTCGATGCTCTGGGATACGTAAACTGGGTTTGTTTGCATTGGAGCAACTGGATGAACGGGAGCGGAATCGACAAGTGGGTAATCAGCCACGTGGAGGCCTTCGAGCTGGACAAGTGGAAGAAGGGGGCGTTCCTGGTTCCTTGTGACAATCAACCCAAAAACAAAGTCGAAAAGAGAAGTGAATTCGAAGACTGGAGGATACAACCAAGTAACTACAGTATTTATACCCAAATCCAGTCTGAGTCATATCTACAACTAATGAGTCATAGGGCTATGTACCGCATGGAGCACTGGTCATGGGTTGTAGTAGAACCTTCCGGAGCATATGTCGCGCAGCCTCGAATCGATAGAGATAACCCCTAGAACCCCTAGCCCGGACCGTCTGATGCCGTGATCCGTGATAAGATAATCCGTGCCGAGATAAGATGAGATCGTCGAGGATAAGATAAAAAAGAGTCGAATTATGACATTCCTTCGAGAGACGCCATATACTCGAACTTTCCGTTCTGGATTGAAAACGACATCCCTATAGGATACGCATGGTCGAAAACCAAGGAAGACCTACCTCACCTAATCCAGCTCCACCCACAACTGATCGCCACACTAGACAGCGGTCTAACCGCTGCGTCCGTATCCCACTCCCTTCATATCCCAACTGACGCCCAAGAAGACCCCCTCTACGGGCGACTCACTCGTTGGGACGCTTGGTTCGAACCCGTAGCCGGACAGCAGGAGTACAAGAATCTCATAGCCCGTCCTAGCAGCAGAGAAGTCTACATCGTCAATTTCGCCGGGTGGTTAAAAGGTACCTCTCGAGGTAGGATTTTGGGGTGTACAAAGTGAATAATCTTGGATGGGACATAGCAAGCCATCCTTCTTCTTGACAAAGAAGAATGCTGATGCCATGGGTGATTTCGATGGCCTGATCCGTCTGCTGGCCAGGTTCTCTTGTAAGAACTCGTCCAGTTTGACCTGCTCGTTTTGCAATAACAGGTACACCTTGCAGTCCACTGCTTTGGAACCAGGTTTGAGCTCAATCACATGGTCCCATGCTCATCAGTCTGGCAGCGAGTCAAACAATTCCTTGGCAAATACCTTGACAAATTCCCAGTATTGATCTGGAATCTTCTCCTCGGTCATTCTCTCCTTCTCTTTTTCCGCTTCTTCTGCAAACTTCTGTGCCAGGGTTTCCTTCAGCCGTAGATCCACTTCCTTCCCAAAGTCGACTAACAGGATCAATTCTCCTTTTTCCAGATCCGCTGCACCTGTGTCTAGGTCGATTGCATCCATGTTGATCATTGCCTGGTGCTCCTCGTGACCCTCATGTGATACCGCTCTGGGCATTGGCTGAATCTCATTTGTCTGCTCCTGTCAGGGGAACCCCCGCTTCGGACCGATCAGCCTGGGATTTGGCATGCAATCGCGCTCGGGTGACCTGTCAGCTGTCACGTGCAGCGGCCCAGACCGCTGGGCCGAGTGCTTCTCTCTGATGGCAGGTGGTGCCATTGTTCCTATTGTCTCCGTTCCTATTGTTCTGTCATGGCCATTGTACTTATTGTTCCCATTGTTCTTTGTTTGTCGCTGCGCGGTCTATTGTTCTTGTACCATATAAATAGTGGCACCTGGCAAGGAGAATCCCTAACACGGTTTCTCTTTGGATTCTCCCTTGCCAGGTATGCCGGTCCTGTACCTAGCTACCACTATTGACACTTTGGATTCTCCCTTGCCAGAACTCTGAGATCGGGTCTCGAGGTTGCCCTTACAGCAGAAACCGTGTTCCTAGGGATAACCGGACAAGATTGCGAGGTTCGACACTGACGCCAGTGGAGAAGAGTCGACAAGCGACCAAGACCACCAGTCCCTCACCTCCTATCTTGCCCTATCCTCCCCTCCACGAGCAGACCCGATGAGCATGGATGACAACGAACAGCAGCGGCTGTCTGCTCTGGAGACTAGCATACAGAACATCGAGGCCGTACTCACCTGCCTCATCTCTCAACAACAACAACCCCCTGCCCCTGCTCCAGCTCCGGCAGCGGGTCCAGGTGTTTCTACTGGCACCAGCCCTGCGCGCCCCCTTATCCGTCCAAATCCTCCCTTCTCCTTCGATGGGGATCGCACCCTGGGCAAGAGCTTCTTGCACTCAGTGAAGCAGTACAGGTGTCTGCTTCCTGAGGCGTTCTTTGTGAATGGGGCAGTCTCGGAAGGAAAGGTAGTCCGCTTCGCCCTGTCCTACATGTCCAAGGACTCCGCAGCCTCCTGGTCCGAGCGCATGTCCGAGCGCACCCCATTCCCGTTCCCTACTTGGGCTCTCCTTGTCACCGAGTTCAAGCTCCGATTCGTCGAGGAGAATGAGCAAGACCACGCCCTGGCGCGACTGGAGACCCATCTGTATTATATGGGCTCCCGTGACGTGTTCAAGTACACGGACAAATACGACGACCTCCTTGATCTCGCCGGCTATACCGTGATCTGGTCAAGGTGACCAAATATAGGACGGGCCTGGATCCAAAGATCAACCAGGCTATCACCACCTCTAGCAACCCTCCCAGGCTTACTGACTACGCCGAGTGGCGTGTCCGCGCGTTCCGGCAGTACAACGCGGAACAGGCTGCCAAGGCGTCTCGAGGCCACGTCCCTCCCCCCCGAGCGCCTCCTATTGTTCCTCGTCCTCGTGCCCCGGTGCTCCCTGCTGTAGCACTGGCAATCGCTGCTCGCCCGGCACCGGCTCCTGTTGCCCACCCCATCCCCATGGAGTTGGATCGGACCCGGCTCCACGGTGATGTTCGTCACACCTGCTTCCACTGTGGCAGTCCAGGCCATCTTGCCCGTGACTGCCCCACCCCAGCTGATATCCGTCACACCGATGTCCTTGATGAGGTCATCAACCAGCTGGGAAGTGAGTTGCTCTCCAAGTTGGTTGCCCGGGTCACAACCACTGCAGCCGTTGTGGATCATGCGTCCAACGTTGCAGCCGAGGAGCAGCAGGGTTTTCTCTCCAGCAACAAGTGAGTAGTACACCCTTGTTTGCTTCACGTAATTGTTTCTCCTGTTTGTATGATGAATCCAATTCCCTCCACTCTGCAACAGTTGAAGTGATAGACGTACACCTGTCATAGTTCGGTCACTTTTTCATCTTATCATCGACGATCTTATCTTATCTTGGCACGACTTATCTTATCACGGATCACGGCATCAGACGGTCCGGACTAGGGGTTCCAGGGATTATCTTCATCGATTCGAGGCTGCGCAACATATGCTCCAGAAGGTTCTACTACGACCCATGACCAGCGTTCCATGCGGTACATAGCCCTATGACTCATTAGTTGTAGATATGACTCAGACTGGATTTGGGTATAAATACTGTAGTTACTTGGTTGTATCCTCCAGTCTTCGAATTCACTTCTCTTTTCGACTTTGTTTTTGGGTTGATTGTCACATAATTCGAAGACTCCCCTCATACCCTCCGACCTCATACTTCTTACCCTGCATCCTGCACCGCTACGCCCGCTATATCCTCTTAACCCTTGTCAACCAACTTACCCTTCTACCGAATCATCTAGTCGTTCTCTGCGATCGCAGTGAAGGGTTCATATCAAGCAAACAGCACCAGGCCACGGGTAACGTTGAGCCCGACCCAAGCCTTACGGTAGCTACAAGGAGTGCTGCGGAGACCTTCGGGAAAACGCACCTCGGGATCATCGGGCACGTGAAGAGCTAGGCCCGGGATCTTTTTCACACGATTCCACCATTTCGTACCGATTCCCATCGTGGTCTGGGAGTCCGTCCCCTCCCCCCATCGTACCATCGTCGCCCGATCTGGCGCATCAAAACGAACGAACCCGGGCCCTCCAACCCCTATCTCGCCCTCCCACCGCCTGAAGACGAGATCCCCGACCTCGACGAACTGCCCTCCGAACAACCACCCTCGCCCCCACCTCACACGCCTGCTCCTACCATGTCAGGGCATCACCACATCACCCTCGCCGCCAACCCCCCCTACTTCGATGGCGACAAGTCCAAGTACCTGGGCTTTGTTAACGCGTGCACCACTTACATTGGTGCCTATCGATCGGAGTTCTCACTGGATGAAACAAAAATCCTCTTCGTTCTCTCCTACCTCCGTAATGAGACCGGCACAAGCTGCGCCGCCTCGAGATGGGCAATGAACTGGAAGCAGCACAACTTCGAGGGCTTCCAAGGACTAAAGACGGGAGTCACCACGAAGAACTTCCTGGAGGAGCTTCAGAGGGCGTTCGGGGACTCCAATGCGGAACAAGTCGCCGCTGCTCGGCTTATGGCCCTGCGCCAAAACAAACGGTCCTTCGCGGACTACATCTCCGACTTTGAGATGTTGGCCGCGGATGCAGGCTACAATGTGGTCGACACCACCGACGACAAAGGCGAATACAAGAAGGGGGACCAGGATAATATCCTCATCGAGTTCCTGGAGCGCGGACTCAGCAGCGAGATTGCCAGCCGTCTCTACAACACCGGTGTCCCTCTGCGCAAGGCCTATGGAGCGTTCAAAGCCTGGTGCATCAACATCGAAGCCAATGCTCTGCGTGACCAGCTGTGCAAAGCGTCGTATGGGCACCCTACACAACGACCACCTCCCCAGTTCCGTCCCCAAGCGGCACCAGTGGCGCCCACACCTGCTCCGGCCCGACCCGCTGTCAACGAACCGGTGATACGCTGGCTACCAGACGCGCTCTGCACCAGCTCTGTAAGGGCGTATTTTTGCGCTTTTACAGAGTTTACTCTCGAACCATTCAGTGCATCGTGTTGCGGTTGACAGTGTTGCGCTCAGTAGGACTTAAGGGTCTACTGCCCAGTCGACGACTGTGGATAGTGTCGACAATAGCAAGGCAGTCAGACCACTACTGTGGAATTGGTCTTATGAGTCTATACCAGGCTCAGGGCCATTAGTGACAGACGCTTGGACCGCGACCATTCCCCAAAAGGGATCTGTCGTTGCGTCGACTTCTTGAAAAGGGTCATTCTCTGCAGATGGGAACTTGGGCTGAAGGGCTGAGCAATGCGCGACGTTCTCAATAATAGAACTACTACTGGACAGGACTTGGCGTTACGAGACTTAAACCATCTTGTCGCGGCAACTCCCGGTTTTGAGTTGGACGTTTCCTCAGATCGTGCTACAACGACGACTTGTCACATGTCAGGATCCATTCGATCACGGGACATTGTGGACGCGTCGCGGTGACACTCTCAAGTGTCACGGCGACGCGTCCATACCCAAACACACCAGAAACCGACACGGCTAGATCCGTGAACCGAACCATGTGGGGGACGACTGGTGTGCCTAGGGCCATACGGCTTCTTGAGGCGCCCACGTTGGTCTCACATGCCAAGACATACCCGTTGGCCAATCCAGCACGTCGTATTCCAAAAGTATGATGCGGTGGGTTGACCCACATCAAAAGTATCATATGGACTATGGGGCGGGGTCCTGATCACTCAGGACCTGTCCGATCGTTCAACTTTTCAATTACCCTAAAAGGCAACCGATCTTAGATAGCGTAGCTACTATGCAGTTGTACAGGACTTTACTAAGCAGCGTCGTAGACAGTATAAGTAGCACGTCGTCTCTTTGTATTAAAGAGCTTTTTCCCGGACTGTGAATCACTCTCATTTCAGATTGTTTTGTACAATTTGCGTGCCGCGTGATTCCACCCTAAGAAGTTCTGCTACCCCTGCCCGGTCGCGACGAGTTGCTCCCTGAGCACTTGTAGCTACTGTGATTTGAGTTTGAGTTGAGACATCAGAAAGTCGGATTCGCCGCATCTGGTTTAGTCGCGGCATTTAGTGTCGTCGCCTTTGGGCTTTGTTGAGATCGTTCCACACCTCTAGCTTGGCAGTGCGTCGACTAGTTGTGCTCGGGTTGTTTTGGTCAGTTGGCAGTGCGTCGACTTGAGAACTTTGGTTCCACACTTCTTGCTTGGCAGTGCGTCGACAAGTTGTGCTCGGGTTTTGGACATTGGGTATTGGCTGTTAGTTGGCAGTGCGTCGACGCGGCATTTTGGTTCTACTAGTTGGCAGTGCGTCGACTCAGTACTTTTGGTTGTGTCAGTTGGCAGTGCGTCGACTTGATATTTGGGCTTTGCGTTGCCATCTAGACGCTGTCGCTACAAGGGATCTTAATACTTCGTATTAAGTTCTGACTTGTTATATTGTTGGTTGTGGATTGGATTAGTGTTGGTTGTGTTTGTATAGAAGATATTGGTTGAGATACCATTGTTTTGCTATATATAAATTCTTGTCGTCGACTTCGTCTCCGCGACTATTGGATCTGCGTCTATTGAGAGTTGTGATACTGGTGCTCTGTCCACCCCGAAGCCCTCGCATCTTTCACACACTGAGAAGCTGATTACAAGGAGTGTGAACGTGTTTATATTTGGGTTTACTTTCATAGTAGATTCACCTGTGAGCACGCCCTCAGCATTTCACCGGTTCCGATGGAAATCGATCGTACCCACGCCCACGGCCGCAATATCATCTGCTACAACTGTCAGCAGCCTGGGCACATTGCGCGGAACTGTCCGGAGCCAAGAAAGAAGCGCACATTTTTCAATCGGGCCACGATGCTTGAAGAGATCGAGAACGGGGACAAGGACAACAAGTTCCTCAAGGAGATCGCCGAGAAGCTGCGCAAGAAGGGTTTTTGAAACGCTCCACTCCTCTAGCCAAGGAGGTGGAGTGTCCGGACTAGGGACGATTTTCTGTACTTGTTTCGATTAAGGACATGAACGATCCTACACATACATACACAATCTCGGACTCACTATGTACGAATATTCAAGATTTTCTCATTGCCGATATGGAAAAAGAACGACAAAGAAAAATAGCCTTAAATAGAGAGTATTTACAGAGTAAAAAGGATCAGAAGGTTGCAGATAAATTAATTTTGGACTCCTATGTATTTATGGCTCATGGAGAAGGAACCACGTCAACAAAGACCAAAAAGGGGAGCATTGCTCCGGAGGCTCGATCCTTGGAAAAGGAGGAAGCGCCCAAGGAATCTGCCGAAATCAAGGTTCCAGAAGCACCCAAACGCACCAGGGTGCCAGATGCTGTCCAGAGAAAATTGGCGGCCGAGAAGCAGAAGGGCCCCCAGCCCAGCAGACTGGTGCAGGAATTGCGCAACTACCAGGCCGAAAGGAAGAGGCATTCGATGGACGTATACGTTCAGATCACGGGTCTGGACTCAGGGAAAACGCGCGGAGTCAAGGCGCTGCTCGATAGCGGCTGCAGTACCTGCTGCATCGATACCGACTACGCCCGGGCAGAAAAGCTGGACATCCAAGAGCTTCCGCAGCCCATCGTGGCTTGTAACGCAGACAACACCGAGAACATCAGCGGTCGGATCACGCATTACGTCGACCTTAGGATGAGAATCGGTCCTCATGTGGAGACACGCACATTCCTCCTGACATGTTTGGGAAAAGCTCGGATCTTCATCGGTCTTGATTGGCTGACAGAACACAACCCCGAGGTGGATTGGCAGGAGCAGACCATGAAATTTAGTCGATGCCCAGAGCGGTGTCACATGAGGGGTCACGAGGAACACCAAGCAATGATTGACATGGATGCAATCGACCTGGACACGAGCGCACCGGATCTGGAAGAGGGAGAATCAATCCTGTTGGTCGACTTCGGGAAAGAAGTGGATCTACGGCTGAAGGAAACACCGGCACAGAAATTCGCAGAAGAAGCGGAGAAGGAGAAGGAGAGAATGACCGAGGGAAAGATTCCGGATCAATATCGGGAATTTGTCAAAGTATTTGCCAAGGAATCGTTTGACTCACTACCGGACCAACGGACATGGGATCATGCAATCGAGCTCAAACCTGGTTCCAAGGCAGTGGATTGCAAGGTGTACCCATTATCACGAAACGAACAGGTCAAACTCGACGAGTTCTTACAAGAGAACCTGGCCAGCGGACGGATCAGGCCATCGAAATCACCCATGGCATCAGCATTCTTCTTTGTCAAGA